TAGGGATTTCGTAGCTGTTGCGGGGCGCTTTTTTATTTCATTTTCACGCCTGCATTTTCTTCTCGCTTGTACTGTACTCTGTGCAATGCGTGTAGTGCTTGGGCGTCACGGTTCGATGGCCGACGGATTTTCCATGTTTCGCTAGATCAAGTTAATGACGGGAAGCGGAGACAGTTTCGACTGTCTGCTGAATTATTTTAATGCTGCTGCTGCGTTTATGGAGCGATGCTTATCTCCCCCTCTCATCGCCGCTATTCTATTCTTTTTTTTGTGCTCCAAGACCTTGTACGCGCTTGTTGTCGAGGAAGCGAACAGTGACGAGATTCTCTAGCGCAACATAATTTGATACAGACCCAAAAACAAAATGGATAAGATTCTTGGACTTTTTTTTTTACAATACTGAACAGGGGAATCTCTAAGTTTAGCTTCAAGGGACCAGTAAAAAAATCGAGTGAGGGAGGCTTTCAGTTGGGAAGAAAAGCATTTTTGTTGGGGGAGAGAAGAATTTCAGGAAAATATTATGTTGATATTCGGGGCTGTGAATTGCTTCTTAAATGAATCGACAGGATGCCAAACTTGGAGGAACAGGGTTCATTTGCATAATCAGCGTTATACTCTCTTTTTCGAGACACATCGGTACGTTTTTTATTGTTTTTCTCTTTCCTGTGTCACTAGAATAATACGCAAAATACCTCCAGAAAAATCAAGTTAGGGAGGCTTGAGGAGGAAACCCATCAAGTTCGGGAGGTTTGTAATGCATTATTTTTTACGTACAGGGACTTGAAAAAAAAAATCGGCGTAGGGAGATATTCAACTTGGGGTAGTTTGAGTTATCAAGGTTCAACTGTGTGATTATCCGTGACTTCCGTCTGGAAATTTCTAGATAATTGGCTCTCCTCATAAGTGATCCTATCGCCAACCGGAAAAAGGCAAGACGCAGTGTTTTTTATTTGCTTCAAATTCTTTTCTGCATCGATTTAAGCTTGCTGTCATTTAATTCTAAAAGTCGATGACCAGCGTTCAGGTGGCAGACGACCTTCAAGACCCACATGCACTCATTAGTTCGGGTTGATCGGGGTGCGGTTATAGACGGTATAAGCTTAACTTCCGTCTGTGCGATTTTCTACCCTCCACGAATTGATCTCCGTCTTGTTTGTTTCTGTATTCGTCACGTTTTATTTCCAGATTTTTTGTGCCCTTTATCTTCTGTGCGTATGCCCAGAAATTGCCCTTGAACTTACACTCACGACCGCCCTGAGTTTTCCTTCGGTGCTGGTACGCGAGGTACAGTAATTTGTTCGGCGATTGGTTCCGAATCCCAAGCGTGATGGATTGGTAACTGGCTCGTTTTTCGGCGAATAATAAAGCCTCCCGGTTCTCGAGAAATGTCGGCAATTTTCCACCCGTGATTAAAGCAGTATTATATTTGCAAAATCGACGAAAGTCGGGCTTTTTATGAAGGACATTTATATGGGTTCCGAAAAAAACACAAAATTTGTATGATTTTCCCCTCGAAATTTCTCTGACGTCTATTATACAGAGATGCGAAGATCGGGTTTGATTCTAGTTGGGGAAACTCGAGGCGAAGTTCGTCGGAGAAAATTACGCAAAAATTCATGTATTAATTTTAAAAAGGTGTCGGCATTACAATTTTTCTCAGCAGCTTTGAACGAACGAATGCCGTACTGTTCAGAACAAAGTACTTCCAGGCGAGGTTTATGAGAAATTCGAGTATGAGAAGGACGGTGTTCGTGTGTCTGATTTTATTCTTTGTTCTCGCTTATTCAGCGGCAACCATTAGGAGCTTTCTGTGTGAACTGAAATCTGTATGCATTCGAGGAAGTGTTCAAGGTGACTGATTTCGCAGAGGGTGGACAGCAAAAAAATAAAAATAAATATATATATATAGGTATATATACATATATACTGTATATATATTTTCAGCAGTAGTACTCCCCCAAATACCAGAGCTACAGTTTACAAAAAGCCAAATTCGAAGTCATTCAATGTTATCACAAATTATGTTTATTTTTGTGATTTTTGCCCTTAGTTGGACCTCTTTGAGTCGAACCTCCGAATGTCAAAAACCACCCAAGCTTGAAATCAGCCCGATTTTCTATGATCTCTTCAAGTGGATTTTTACGGTTCCTTCAAATTTGACTTTCAGAGATCCGATTTTGTAATTTGATGTGCATATTTAAGACGATCTCTCCTTAAATGACGGGTGCCAAAATATTTTTAGGAGGCTTCTTGGGTTCTGAGTGGACCGATTTTTCTGTGGGGGATGCAGCATTTAAAAATGTTTTTCTGTTTTTTTTTGTTTTTTTCATCTCGAGGTGGAAATGAGAGGCTTATTTGCGCATAGCTTCTGAAGCATGATTTTAGCAACCACTAGCCTAGCCCAGGTTTGAGTTCGTTTCTGAAAGTATTGGTAAAGTTTTGTTGTTGATCTTCCAAATTGTTTTCTTGCTCCCTGCGTAAAATCGAGTAAATGAACTCAAGTGGCGTGTTGCTACATATTTTCTGCAAATCATTTTGATGTCAGGTGGTGCCATGCGATTTCACAATAAGATACTGTAATAAATTTATACTGTACTCATTATGACGTTTTTTTGTCGTCCTAACACGCCTGGCCTTCCAGAAAATGTAACTGTTCAACATTTTTGTTTTCTTTCACCCGGTATATTCTCGGAATCAGAACAAATGTCCCTCAGCATTTTTTGAGTGAATTTTTACCTGCGGAAGCGGCAAATTGCTCGGTCACGTCCTGCTCGTAGCCTCGGTTTTCATTGTCTGGATGCAATTTCTGGTTGTTTGCTCAAATTCTCCTTGGGGGCTTTTTTCCTCTCATGTTTCTTGATTTAAAAAATAAAGCAAGCCGTCGTAATTATCCCATCATAAAATACGTTTACGACCTTGTTAGGATTGTGTAGCCCTTTCACGAATTAAAAGTGCACACAAGTCGGGAGAGTACTTTTACAATACCGCATGAATTATTTTCTCGTGACGCGTGTTGAAAAAAAAATTTTTTCGAGTATTGTTTGTATTTTTATGGCTCTCTAATCCCTGAAGGGAAAACAAAGATTTGGAATGTGAACCGTGTCAACAACAATGCGGAGCAGGAAATTCCCAGCATTTTTGAATTAAAATATCAATGACGTTCTAGCGAAAATATTATTTTGTTCTGCAAGTTTCTCCGCAAGACAATGTATTTGCATTCCCTGGTGGAACTGTCGGTAATTCTCAAGTAGTTCATCTACCAAGACATTTGATCGACAGCAAATCTTTGTTTGATTCGTGGAATCATGTTCTATAGAGATATCTCGTGTAAGAACTTGCAAGATAAACATTGTTCTTGTGATATTTGACTTGGAAGAAATTCTGTATTCGTGTATGTGGCTCAAACTTAATAAGAAAGGGCCGTTCGATGAAAGATACGGACTTATGGTTCATGTTAGCGTTGGAAGAAGATACACAGGTACCTGGATGATGGTACAAAAGTTGAGAAAAGGTGCAACGATGGCTAAACAGAAAATCCAAATTTTTCATGTTTGCTCAAATTCTCCTCGGGTTGTTTTTTTCTCTTTGTTTATTGATCTTTAAAAATCAAGCAGTCGTAATTATCCCATCATAAAATACGTTTACGACTTTGCTAGACTTATATAGCCCCCTCGAGAATTTAAAATGCGCACAAGTCGTGGGAGAGTACATTAAAATCCATAATAACATGCTTAAAATAAGACAAACAAATATTCAATTCTTGATTTTTTATCTGCGTTGAGGACGCGAGGATAAGAACAAAATATGCATCGTTCAATAAAGTTGAATCCAATCCTGGAATTTGGTAGGCAGAAGATGGTTCACAGCAAGTTTTACGACTTGGAACTGCATGGTTGCGAGAAAAAAAAGGATCAACTTGAAAAGTCTCAGGTTAGATTGAAATTATCTTGTATATATTCATACTTCTTGGTACATTATTATTAAACCTTGTAGGATAATCAAATGCATTGTCAGTCGACTTTCTCAGAAACGATTGTTCCTGGTTTCCCCATCGAGTCATTTCCCTTTCCTCTCGTGTCCATCCATTGAATTTTCATTCACGCTATAAAATTTAACTTGTATGAGTATGATGGTTTATTGTCAGTTGGGGTTGCGCTTTATGGTGTTGGTTGATCGGTTTCCGCGTTTCTTGACAACCAGGCAATGAGGAAGCGTCTTTGACGATTGCTTCCCGCACATGCTGAGACAAAAGCCAACTGCGAATAATTTTTTATGCCCCGTGTATTTTATTTTTCTGGCTTGATGTCGGCCTTCACGATTATTCGTGGGACTCATTCTGAGTCACTGTGTGGAAAGCGGCTGAATCACGCGTAATAATTGGTCCAATAGTCCGATTATTGCGTCCGTTTTTCCGCGAAAATGTGTCTCCTTGGGGTTCCCCTCCGAGTGATGACGGAACTAGGATTGTTTTTTCTCTTGAGTTTTTTCCTTCTTGGATTTATCTGTGTTCGAATGATAGGAGGCTTGAGAGCCTGGGATTATTGTCTATTTGAGGGAAATCTGCTTCGATCGTCATCAGATCGGCTGATGAGCTTCGATTTTGTGATCGGCTGTAAACTTTCTCATTACAAATGATGTATAGTAATGTAAAAAGCATTGATGTCTTTGGAAGGAACTTCTGCTCCATTTGTATGCCGAAAAAACGATGAATCTTCAAAAACTGAATTCATGACAGCTCTCATAAAATTTCTTCGAAATAAATCGCTGAAATGATTCCAGTTTTTTTGAAAAATTTGCAAAATAATGTACAAAGTGTTCGTTTTGCGAGGCCTGATATCGTCCCTGCAAACTTTTTCGATACAGTATATAAATTTTCTGCCATTTCTTCGAGGATTTTTTTTTTTATTGTGGTTACAAGATCAATTCCAAAGGCTGAGTTCATCCGCTTTTTGACGCTGCTAATCCGTGTTCGTCATTCTTTTTTATTTATTTTTGCAGGAGGACAATCTTACGATTACGAGAAGCAGCGATACGACGGCTGGTACAACAACCTTGCGCATCCGTCATGGGGATCAGTGGGTAAGTCAACCAGCAAAGTCGATTTGTCAGCAAAAGAAGAGTGATGACGGAACTAGGATTGTTTTTTCTCTTGAGTTTTTTCCTTCTTGGATTTATCTGTGTTCGAATGATAGGAGGCTTGAGAGCCTGGGATTATTGTCTATTTGAGGGAAATCTGCTTCGATCCTCATCAGATCGGCTGATGAGCTTCGATTTTGTGATCGGCTGTAAACTTTCTCATTACGAATGATGTATAGTAATGTGAAAAGCATTGATGTCTTTGGAAGGAACTTCTGCTCTATTTGTATGCCGGAAAAACGATGAATCTTCAGAAACTGAATTCATGACAGCTCTCATAAAATATCTTCGAAATAAATCGCTGAAATGATTCCAGTTTTTTGAAAAATTTGCAAAATAATCTACAAAGTGTTCGCTTTGCGAGGCCTGATCTTGTCCCTGTGAAATTTTTCGATACATCGCATACATCTTCTGCCATTTCTTTGAGGATTTTTTATTGTGGTCACAAGATCAATTCCAAAGGCAGAGTTCATCCGCTTTTTGACGCTGCTAATCCGTGTTCGTCATCCTTTTTTATTTATTTTTTGCAGGAGGACAATCTTACGATTACGAGAAGCAGCGATACGACGGCTGGTACAACAACCTTGCGCATCCGTCATGGGGATCAGTGGGTAAGTCAACCAGCAAAGTCGATTTGTCAGCAAAAGAGATTTTCCCGGCATTCGGACATTGCACCATCCTTCACCCCCCTCTTTTTTGAGTCTTTTACGTCGACTTCTTTTCCATTTTCCATATTCCGCGGTACAGCATTTGATCGACTTCGAACGTATTGTATTGTAGTTGATCAGCGAACCGTGTGGGCCTTGGCAACTTGGTGGAAAAATGCTCAGATGAAATAAGAATAATAATGGGTCCTTTTTTCTTGTTGTTTTTCGGAAGCGCATTTTTGTAACGGGGCATGGTACTTTCGACTCGAATTACATGTTCGGAGGTTTTGTAGATCGGATATTGTTTAGCCTTGTACGGCCCCCGTAGTACGTGGAACGGGTGAATGACGCTTCGAGCAATTCGTTGTTACTTTGAATCACGTCAAGGTGTGTGTGTGTGTGTACATGCGTGTGTGATATGTATAATATATATGGGGAGGATTTGTTGAACATCATGTTTTTAAAGTTTTCCGGGTGCGTGCAATTGCGTTATTCGCTTCTCGAGTCCCCTCACGATTTACTGCTTAATCCTTGGAAACTTGAGTGCTGTATAGGGGTTGATTTTGAGCGGATCACACGAGCTAAATTACGTGCAATTCGTACTATATCCTTGAAAGATATGGAACTCGATATTTGTCAGGTGCAATCGGCCCTTTTTCAAAATCAAACTGTCCACAGATTAAAATCATATCCGGGGTTACCTGCGCATTTTCGTTTTACAATAGCGTCAGTTCGATGAAGACCACACTTTTCAAAATATACTGTGCTGTACTGAAGCTTAAACGACTCAACCTGAATTTCTAGCAAAAAAAAAAAACTGCTGCAATATTTAAAAATTTGAATTCCTCCTTCCCCTCAGATAGCCTGAAATTTCGTGCGAAAATTAGTTAAAGTCAAGATCAACATTAGAAGCAACACAAGGAAATTGAAGTATCGGGAGAAAGATATCAGGAGAAGCATGAAAAATGCAACAACTACGCTTAATAGGGTACAGTATATTTTTAATGATACTGTACTTTCATTTTAAAAGGCTATTTTAAACGCTAACAGATTTTTTTCGGAGAGAGACTCAAAGATTGGCTCAAGTTTTCTTCAACTAAAAAAAGCCTTTCATCAAGTTTTACATCTCTTTAGATACAACTATTTTTCAATGTTTTGGAACAGGAAGCCAGCGATTTGTCGTTTTTGGTCTGATGTTGGTTGATTTTATTTACGGAACCAATGCCGAAGTAATTATTTTTGACTCAAAGCCATAGATTAAATGTGAAATCGACGAGGGAAATTAGCATTCTTCGTTCATTAATGTAATCAACTTAACTGTAATGCAATTTTGCGTGCTCAAGGATAAGATTTGTTTTTTCTCTCGACGTTTATGCTCTCAACTTGCCATGGGCAGATTTAAAAGACATTGATTCAAATTTCTTCCGGAATGGTTTTTGTTCTCTTAATGCTTTTCCCCGCGGCGAACATTGCTCTCCTAATACATTATTCAATTTTGCTGATATTATGGCAGATTTTAAAATTATGGTTTCTATCTTATGTCTTTTCGATGTTTTCCGTGTGTGTGTGTGTAGTGCAGTAATTCCTATCAGGGTTGTTGGCTAATCTTGCTGATTTTTATCACCGTTTTTACCGGAAACCTGAAATTTGACGGAGATGCGCTTTTCCCCTCTCGATAATTTTGACGTTCTTGCCAATTGATTACGCTAATTTATCCGCTGTGATTTGTTCAAAAGATCGCTCGTGGGAATCCCTTGACGTTGATCGTCGCGTTTTCTCCAGCCAAGTCGTTAATTTCAACTGCATAAATCCAAAACCGCTCAACTTTTTGAATAATGAGAACAGAAGATGGAGTACTTCCAAGGCCTTGCTGGCCGGAAAGCACGCCGTAAGTGGATGCTCGAACGCGAAAATAATTCCAATGGAATATGAAATGATCGTCTTCCCAGGTCATAATGCGAAAAAAATTAGCCAGATAGAGAGATATGTAATTGGGCATTTATGAGGGATTTTGTCCGATTCTCAGCTCCGGCGTGTCAAATTTAAACGAAGAAGTTGACTAACAGGGAATTAATCTTCACTTGTGAGAATCCGCCGTTGGTCAGGAATTATTGCTAGCTCACTTTTGTTGCATTGCCGCACTGAACATCAGAACGCAAGTTGTATTAAAAGTTTAAAACACTTGGATAACTTCTGTTTTGGAAGAAGAAAGAAAAAAATCGTACCTATGATTTTTCCTTTAATATTTTATCCTGCATATGCAAAATGAATACAGTGAGACCCCTACATGCGGACACCTCGACATGGGGACAATTCGACATTTTTCAATAAAAAAATCATAAAAAGGCTCGAAATAGGGACACTGACTCAACATGAGGACATTGCATGATAAAATTGACAATACATTTTAGGAAAATTGTCTTTTATTAGGCCAAATTGCAAGAAGCAGATATTTCCAACCCTAAGATCTATGCAAGAAAAATTCTTCGGTAATTTCCCCATCACTTTCCCATCCATTCAGCTGATTAAAAAAAAATTACCTATAGCACAGTGGGACTTCCTTCTCTCTTTGTGACTTGGATGTTATTTTTACACATGCCTACATTTCAATGAACTGTACAGTGGTATACTATTCAATGCTCCAAATGTTCTTATTGGGTTGAAAAGGTATTCACTAAATCAAATTCAAGTGGCAAAAATTTTTTTTTCATGGAATTCTGGAGAATATTTCTTCCATAAAACACCAATTGAAATTATTTCTTCCATAAAACACCAATTGAAATTATATAATGTAAGTCTATGGGAAAAAAAGACTTGACTTAAGGAGAATTAAACTTTGGGACACTCTTGATGCACCAATTTATGTCCGCATCTGGGGGTCTCACTGTTCAAATTATTTTGCTCAATTAGTGGATTATTGCAAATTACCTCGTGTGATTGTTCAATTAGAGGCACATACAGTATTTTAATGCTGCTTAAATAGAAAATTCCCCGATTGATTTAATTTTTTTTCTCACCATCAATCACCATTTTGATGCTTCTAGCATTCATGTTAATTTTGATGGAATTTTCAACGAAAATCCTGTTTAAACATAAGGGAGATGAGGTAAATCAGCTTGCATCGACATTAGTTCTACCGTTTCTCTTGATTACGTGGTAACGTTAGTTGAAGCTTTAATGTACGAGTTTCAATTAACCTGTTCTCGTTTCAAATTTTTTTCAGAAATCAGCGAGTCTAAGTTCATTAAGGAGGGGGGGGGGTGAGTGAAAAAAAAACTTGAAAAAACTTGAAAAAAAAACAGAACACGAGATATATTCCCGCGACTTCGCGCGGCTGGTCTCATGACGCAACAATCCCGTCGCCCCGCATCCATCATATGTCTCCTGCGCTTGCCCAAGACGCACCGAATGAATGACTTGACTCGGCTGCTTGCCTCTGGCTTGCTCCAGCTTCAGCAGGCTACAGTTCGTCCTTTTTTTATATTTTCCTCCCTGCCCACAGATTCTTGAGATCCTTACGAGGTCGCTGCTTTTTTTTTCTCGCTCGTTGTCTCATATTTTTCTTCACCCCCCGATCCGGTGGATAATTATAAAGCTCTCGACATTGGTTTCTGTCTTCCTGCCGCCTCGGACGGGGTGACCAAAATGGGGGCCCAGAATAGTTCATTAGTCCTTGTCGATGTAGAGGGATCTGGTTATTCACGGGATTACTACTGTAGTACAGTACTGTACAGTGGTGCCGCGGTTAGTGGACCAATTCATTCCAGTCCGAAGTCCATTTAAAAAAGCTATGTTGAATGGATAATTGGCTCGAAAGCCGCCGAAGTATGTCTGACTAACGCCATGTTTATTCCAGATCCGTTAGAAATTCTTGATTGAGATTATTAAATAAATTTACGTACTGTTCATGTTCAAAATGAAATAGTACACAATACATATAAATCAACAGTATGCATACAATTAACGTAGAAACCAGTGTTCAGCGCTTGAAAACACTGTAATTAGAAATTTTATATACTGTACACTTGAAACATGTTGCGGATGGCCACATTTCCCTCAGTAACCTACATTAAATGATTTTTTGATTTAGTCAATTATACGATGCTTGGTTCGTAGCAAAAATATGTTGCAGTCCAGGTCTGTTACTGAATAAATGGACTATGCGAGGTAAAATTGTACGTGCTCATGTTGTCTTACGCCAGGATAGAAAGAAATATGAGAGCAGTATGATTAGCAAAGTTCGTGATGAATGCGATTATTCGGACGCAGTTCATCAAAATTCCGCGTACCGGCGTCCAATAACGAGGCATGCTTGTGCTATGTTATTTATTTCCCAATTTGACCGTTTTCGGTTGTGGGATACTGACGAGAAATTCCAGTAACTTTTTTCGTCCGCCCCCCACCTCGTTAAAGTTCTTTTATAATACCCGCGACGGCAGAACCGGGATTTTAAAAATCTTTTTCACGGGGCTGGCGGTTTTTAAAGAATTCGTGAAACCTTGGTCGATTAGAAATCATAATGATACTGTATAAGGTAAAGGCGCTTGGAAATTTTGCAGAAAATCTGAATCCTACGCAGTTGCTGTCGGACACGTTGAACTGCAGCCTTACAACCAGTTCAGCTCCAGTAAAGTACAGAAATATTTTTGGAAAAGGGAATTTTTTCCTGGTCCCTACAGAGTTTCTGTTACGGTAGTTCATGAGCAGCTTCGTTACATGAAACTGACGAAAGATTTGTCATATTTAGGGTTTGAGTTTCCCTTTTGGATATGCTGTACCTTGATTCAGGCTTCATTTGTCGCATTTCCGAAAATTCCTTCTACTCTGTGTAATGACTTTCAAATTTTCAGGCGTAAAAGAACTGAAACATCTTCGGAACGAGCTGGCGATTTTTTTTCGTAGATGAAAATGACGAACCGCGTTTTTTTGTGACTTAAATGTCACGAAACTCTTTTCCTGACTTTTTTTTTTATTCGTGAGATTGAATGCGTTGAAACTTGGCGCAAAGCGGTCGCACCAGAATGCGGTACATTATTTTATTTCCTGAAGAGAGTTTCAATATATTTATGCCCCCTTTATAATTAGAAGTCTCTGTGCGTCGTTATTTCGAAATCTATCCCGGTCGGAATTCATGTCATTTATTTTTGCAATTACAGACAGTCACCTGACGCGGAAAACGCCGCCAGCTTATGGAGACGGAGTTTACATGATGGCTGGGCAGGACAGACCCAGTCCCCGAATGCTGTCACAAGCTTTTATGAAGGGCGTCGACGGGATGGGCTCTGCCAAGAATCGCACTGCTCTGCTTGTCTTCTTCGGTAATGTTCAATACACTTTGATTATTTAATTTTTTTTCTGAATATAAAATTAACTCGTCTCTGGTGACCAAATGATTTGAGCCGAACTCTAAGCATGCTGTGCTTGAAATAGCTGCTCCACACGTGCTTGAAAATTACGATCACCGAAATATCAGAAGGGTAGAATAGCACTCGTTGAAAACCATTTTCAAGAGGTTGAACAGAAAGCAAGACTAATCAAAATATTGTATTGTAATACAGTACAGGTATTTCTCTGTCGCACTTGGATTTGATTCATGTGTACATGGTGTAATTTTTCAAATATTTTCTTAAAGAGGTATCCCAGTCGAGAAAATTGTCAAAGAAAATAAGCGGGGTTTTTAAAACCAAAGCTTACTCTCGTAATACGATATCAACTAGCTATCGATTTTCAAGTTCAAGTCCTCCCTAAGTCGAATAATTCCCCATGTTATTTTTTGAAGTCCTTCTCTGAATTCCCTTGGAAATATACATTAAAAACCTCCCTAACTCGAAGGCTATCCCTTCGACCCTTCATGACTCAAAATTTCTGGAGGTCTTTCGCCTTCATTATTATTATTTTTTGGCGCGGCGAAGAGAAAAACAGTTAAAATGTGACGTGATGTGTTTTGAAAGGAGGTGTAAGATTAATTGGAACCTCATTATCTTGTGAACTCATTTAAGACGCTATTTGAAGTCTAGAATAGCATCAATTACTGTTTCCGGTAATCCGTTCTTTCCCCAACGTAGATGCTGGTTTCCTCAACTCGATTTTTTTTGGTACTGTACCTTGAATTTCGACTTGAAGAGGTTCGATTGCAGTTCGTCTTTTCCGTTCCTATTTATCGTTTTCATAGTAATGTTTTCACCTGCACTGGACTGACGCTTTTTATTCGCATTCATTATGGAAGAACAAGTTTTTGACTCGGGAAGATTTGTCAACTGCACCGTGGGCAATAAATTTATTTTATTTTCTCCGAGTTGGGGCTCACGGTTTTTAATGCATTTCCGTTCATGATTTCGCTGCTCTCGTGTGTTGCAGGGCAAGTGGTGTCATCGGAAATCCTGATGGCCTCCGAGGCCGGCTGTCCGATTGAAATGCACCGCATCCCGATCGAGAAGTGCGACGAGATGTACGACAAGGACTGCCGAGGAGACAAATGGATGCCGTTCCACAGGGCATGGTACGACATCAAGACCGGCCAGTCACCCAATTCTCCTCGTGAACAGGTCAGTAATTTTCACTTGGTTTCTTCTTTTTTTTTTTCCTCTCTCGAAGGAATCTATAGCAAACCTTCCCTTATCTTGTCCTGGATTGTAACTATCTGTACTTTCCAGATGTGGCAGCGTTCGTGTACCACTTCTTGAGGTGACATGAGCTCAAATTAGGCACGCATAAGTTTGCACTGCTTAAACAATTTATACGCACTTGATGCTTCAAAATTAAACTGGGTGTTTCCGATTCCTTAGCCCAAATATTGTTTACGTATTTCTTTCTTCGTCTTTGTTCTGGTCTATGTGTGCTGCATTTTTATTTATCGCTACCCAATTTTTGCTCTAATTTAGCACTCAAGAAAGTGCATCTATTCTTGGGAAATCTTGCTCACTGCCTAACCGGTGCCCGCGTACCACTGGTACAAAATTCCTGACCAAGGTGATTCACGCTGGAATAAAGCCACAAAAGAGAGAAACATTCTGGCTAATTATAGAAAATATTTCAGCAATTCATATGAAAAAAAAGAGAAAAGAGGATAAAAATTCCAGCACCATCCAGGTAACCGCAAGTGTGTGGGAAGTTTTCAGAAATTAGCAACATCCTGAGAACAATTATTATTATCCGTGGGAAGTGGAGAATTTAGAAATAAAAATTGCAGCGTTTACAAAAAATTTAATCTTTGTTTCTAAATCGTATCTTAAAATTGGTAGTGAGTGAATCACACTGGCTATTCCCATGAAAATGCCAAAATCGCCAAGGAAGAAAATACCGTACCTGCCTTCCTCAAATGAGCACGGGTTGTTCGGATGTTTGGCAGACATTTTTTCCCCTTTTTCGCCCATATATGTGAAATAAACTTCGCGATTGAAATGTCCAGCTTCTTAATCCCCCTCTTCCTCAGAGTATTTCATTTAAATTTGTCAAACATCGGACCGTAAAACCTGCAAAAATTTTCACAATTTCTTGCTCCTTGAAAATATTTCCCAAGCCCTTATATCATTCGAGATTATCACGTTGTGCAATTGAACGTGTTTGCTGACTTCCAGTCCATAACTATAAACGGAATGTGATTGCTGTAGTCAAGGTCGCACTTCGTGCTCTAGAAATCTAAGACACGTGAAATTGCTCTTGGAATATGTTATTCGGATTGATGGTTTGATTGTTCGTGAATTTTGATTACTTCAGGGCTCGCATTTTGAAAATATAATTTACGTTTTGGATGATGTCCATATTTCATTGTTCTCGTTAAGTTCGGACAACTCGAAAGAATTGAAAAAGAACTCTTTTTTATAACTGGCAACTTTCTGTCGTTTTGAATTGAAAAAAAAATATCAGCGGTTTTATGATTGAAGAGCTATTCGTTCCGGACACTTTCATTAGAAAGGGTGTCAGATTTTGATCTGTTGTAACGGATGTAAATCTTGCAGTTTTTTGGACGAAATGACGGGTCGCACGATTGTACCCGAAAATGTTATAAGCTTTACGCCTTCTCTGAATCTTCTATTTTCCGAGGATTTGCAAGATGAAAGTTCCCACGTTATCTTATCGGTACGAATATACACGAATGTATATTATCGTCAAAATAAAATTCCCATTCATCGTATATTAGTGCTCCGATTCTTTCATCGGCAAATGATCAACTCGGGAAAATTGATCGAAATTTAGTTGAAATTATCTCTTGCGTTTGCCTATGAAGGTACTGCATCTTTTTTAAATCGTGGAAATTTGATACAGTAATATAAATTGAATGGGTTCAGATTTTGTGGACAGCAGAGATCGGCTGGATTCCAAAATTTTCCCTTTCCGGTTTTGAAGACAGATGTTTGTAATCTGTTGAATAGTCAAATCAACATTTAGATGTTCTATAATAGACCACCCAGCTTTCAAAGTACGATAAATTATGCAGCTTCTCAACAAGTAATCTTGAACCCTCTGTAATCAAGCATTGAAACAATACCACATTGTATTCATACGTCCTTTGAAGAGTTTGAACGCCAACAAATATTTAATGTCCGAAAGTATTTCATTATTTTATTAATAAAATACCGAGAAATGATTTTATGAGAAAAAAACAGTTTGCTGGATCAATGTAGGAAGATGTAGTTGTATGGTTGAAAAAATCAAAGGAAATTATTTTGTTATGCGATTTTCCTCAATTTTTAAAACTCAACCCCGTGTTAAATCATCAACAATTTTATATGCAGTGAGAGAGGCTTTTCCTAGATTGCATCCTTGCGTTAGACAGCGTCTTGCTCAATTTTAAAATTTAAGGATACATTCAAGTTCGGTTTAGGAAAAGTCTCATTGGTGGTCGGAAAATTATTAAATGCTTAATTACAGTACAGTAATATTCGCCTTGTGAACATAATTTCCATTTATATCCCTCCAGCGGGACTTCAAAAGAGAAGCACTTGGCTGACAAAACTGTTGAGCTAATTTCCGGACGAATGACGATCGGCAGTGAAATTGTTTTTCTCGAAAGCTTAGAAATACTGTAGCACTTTCCTAGAATATATAGCTCGGATAAATTAAGCTCCCACCGTTATTTGATTGCTGAAATAACGTTTCGCTTGTGCTCACCTGCTTGTAATGAATCCAGGCTGTTCGAAATGAGAAAAAAAAGCATGGACTCCCGGAAGAAACGCGGTTTGACGCAAGAACGTGCGAATGATTTCGGAAGTTGACGTCACGCTACTGCGTGTTTCACAGACAATCGACGATTTCTTAGTGGAACTTCGTATGTTTCACACCGCCGGGATTTTAAGAACCGTGGCAGTCAACTGTCCACGGAATAACTAATGAAATTGTCGTAAAATTCTCAACAAGAAAATCCTCTTGAAATGCGTCGCCTAGATTCATTGGAGTTGAAAGTAATTCTGCGAAATGTTGAGTCTTTTCCCCAGATTCTGTGTTTGAAAACTCGGAAGTGATCCGGAGGCATTCGAAAGAATATCATGAGAATCAATTTAAATTTGGGCGAGCAAACCTTATACAGAAATGGTATTCAGGAAACCTTACCCTCGAAATCTGCTAATTTGCATGCAAATTTAGCAGTTTAGCAAAGAGAAGCTCTCCCTCGTATAAAAAGCGAGGATGATTTGAAGCTCGGGTTTTATGAAGGGCCCGTCAATGTCGGTTCTTGAAATACTGTACAAGATTTTCAAAAATAATCGGGGATTTAATCCGTTTCATGTTTTTAGTTTTCGTGGCCTTCCCTGTTCATTTTTCTAGATTATAATTTTTTTTTTCGTTTGATGAAGCGCGCGATAATCCACTTGGTTGATGACCGCCTGCACCAAGCGTTCGTGCAGCCAGTCCATCACGTGTATTTCCTCATCGTCGTATCCCTCCGAAATGTCAATCGGTGGCGAAAGTCGCGTGAGAACGATTCTCGGCTCATCAATCCTTGTCCAGGGATAAATTAGTGGCGACAGATGAAAAAAAAAATAGCCGAAAATTACGAGCAGCCACATCGAAATCATATGTTTTTTTTCTTAATTGAAAATTTTTGATGAGCGGTTGTTCATGAAGAAAACACATACAGTATCGCCGAACGGCATCCATTTTCGGTTGGGGATTGATTTTCTTGTGGCTTTCACGGTTTATTCAAAGGAAAACAAAATCGATAGCTTTTCCGAATACTGCATGTTGACCCACACGATTCCAATCCAATGGCTGTGCAGAAATTTCGATTAACTGCTGCAGTTTCGACTGTTCTAATCGGCGTTTTGCACACGAAATGTTCGTTGTCTTCTAGAATCTAGAATGAAGAAGTATTATTGAACGTTTTCTTTTCGGAGCCCGAAGCCTTTTTCCTTCGGTTATTTGCATTTTAACGACTTTACTTGGAATTTTTTTAATCAGAAAGATTCATGACAATTTCATTCGACCAAAAAAGTATTTCAAATAACTTAATAGACCTTCGCGCCCCTGAACTCCAAGACAGAGGATGTAAGTCAAAAGTATGCGTAACATGCTGAGCGACGCGTGGTGTTGCCCAACATAGACTTGTAAAAATGAGAGAGAAAATAAAATCAAAACGAAGCAATTAACAATTCAAAAAATTGCAATCTTCTGTACGGTGAATATGCAGACTGCTATAATGCTTGGACTTCATCGTTCCTGAGAATACTAATGCGAGAATGACTTTCAAGGATTGCTTGCATAAATAATCCTTTGGCTTTTGAATGCGATGACATCTCAGTCAATGGTCTGTATTCATTTCAGTGAGTAGTTATTTGATAAGTCGTTTCATCGTGAAGATACCGGTCGTATAAAACGGCGGATGAGTTCCTGACTCCAAAAATACCCTTTATCGAATACTGTTATCCGAAGATTTTAAAAGTTGCCAATGAATTTCGGGTATCTTGGAAATTGAATTCATGAGCACAATATGAAGTTTTCATGAAGAATTATGATAGGCAACATGATGACGCATTCATTGAATTAAAAATAAGCATTTCTAAGTTGCTCAACGGGACCAAGATCATCGAAAAGACTTGAAAAATTGTTTGACAGCCACATTTTCCACGACGTCACTTCTTTTCAAGGTCCATCACTTTTCATAGAGGCTATTATCCGAAGCCTGGATGCATTGTGCGAGGAATCCATTATTCTGGGTACCACCGTACCTTAAATTTCCAATTGGAATTTGGTAAATTATCCTTTTCTCTGGGCGAGTACGAAAATGTCGATTCCGCTGTTATTCGCTCCAATTGTGGAACATTCTTGACGTGGAAGGTTTTTTTCCTTTCAAGGGATCATATGCTAATCCAATTTGTAACATGTCGACGTGTGATGTTCAAGCAAGCGTTCTGTGCTTCGAAACACATTTTCTGTGTTTCCTCGTGGGAAGACGTACAGTACGCCGTTTTGATCACGCGAAGTGTGACCTATGAGACACGAATAAATAAGGTCGATTTTTCGGCACCGAAGCAGGCTGCGCACGAGACGCGGTTTAATTGCCGCCGGCCTTCGAAATGCCAGATTTAACGAAGTGACACACACGCGAGGGTAATTTTTCCCTCGCAATTTATTTTATTTATTTTTTCTCTCCGCTCCAACCTCGGGATCTATATTTTATTTTAAGGTTTCATTTCGGGCGTATATGTGCCCCGCTCGGTGTATGAGCATATATTTCGTGGGACGCCGGGCTGTTGCAGGGCTTGCGAAACGCCCGAACGTAAACTTGACCCTCGAGGCGGATCTGGAATGTTTCACCGAATCGTTTTCTCGCCCTGATTGATCGCTGCGTGTCAGGGATTAGGTGCCAAGTGCATTCCACTACGAAGGGGAACTGTCTTGTAAATCGCTCCAATTTTTTTTTCTTCTTCTTCCTTTAAAAAAAATGTGTTCCTTAGTTTCAAGTCCCTTTCTCGTAGAACGCAGTCAATATTTATGTTAACTCAAACGCATTCAGTCGTTTCCTAGAGAAAAAAGAAGAGAAACTATTTGATATGTTGCTCTGGCATTGGAATTCTTTCTGCCTTAAATCCATCTGTGGGGGTTTTCATTTAATTCAATCCGGAGCGCAGTAAATTATTTCTCTGTCGTGCGTAAATAATGTGTTTTGCACGAGAGAAGTTTAGCTTATTATAAAAAAACTCGGAAGTCCGTCCGGCTTTTCAGAGACATAAACTTTCAGATATTTTGGACATTTCATACAAGAAAACCAAGATAATAGACGGTTCATGCAAAAATGTTACGTGCGAACATCGGACTGGATCTCCCTTGGCTATTTGTTTGTTTGCTGATTTGTGATGCTTCCGACGAGCAATACGTTTTTGGCATTCAGTATCCGATGGACCAATGTTTATTCTTTTTCTGGTGAAATCCGACGGACAGAAATCGAAGCAAGGTGTTTGTTTCATCAAGCCTCAAATGAAGCCATGTAATGCACATCAAATACAAGGGCTGACCTTCTTCTAAAGTAATGTACTTTCTGACAGTAGACTTTAAAAGGTGATATAATATGGCCAATTTTTTCTGTAATCGTGTACTGCAATCATAATAATAACAGTACTAGTTTCGCGTTTGATCTCTGTTCCAATTTTTGTTCATACTGTTGTGGCTGGAGAGAAGGCAGAGCCTTGTAATTGCAGCTAATATTTCGGCGTAGAAAGGGTTCACCCATTATACGTGCAATTGCAGTACTTTTTAATAGCTCTGTATCTACTTAGTACGAAATATTCATATCAAGAAAAAAAAATCACGTTGGGAATATTGCTGAAAACCATGCGTCTAAAAAATGTAAAAAAAATGTCGGTAAATGTTGTTTCAATTGGTGAGTAAGTATCTAAGCAGCAAGTGCGAAAAAACATTTTCAAAGGATGATGGACAGTACTTGCTTCAAGCTTTAGCATTGATTCCCGCGTTCTTTTAAGGAGGATCTTGATTCAGATGCGTGGGCTCTCCAAGTATGTCCCGATGAAGCTCAATTTTGGCAGGCTTTGTTTAAATTATTCGAATCAGAAGTCGAGTTATTCAAAGTGCCGTGAACAGAATTCCAGTAAAGTCGACGAATCGGGGGATAAGAAGGAAATTTTTTTCGACTCCAAAAAACCCTATTAAATCAATAAAGGTTTACCATCAGGACGTACAGTACTCGAATGAATCAGCCCTCGTGTTTTCAGGGAATTTTTTTCGAGATATTTCACTCTGAAGAAAACTGAAATCATTATTTCTGCGGTTCAAGTTTTTTAATGCGCGAAATTTTTTTTTTCTTGACGAAACATTTTTTTTTTCCATTTCACTGCTAGGCTTCGTTTGAATTGCTAAACCGATTTTTTACGCTCCTCGGCTAATACGTGCGAACGAATTCTCTGGGAATTTTTGTGGTTTCGAAAAACCCGAGGCTCGGAATGTGGATTGCTAGAAACTCGGAAAGCTTCTCGCTAGCAGCGATTCAAGGTGAAACTCGTCATCACCATTTAGGTCATTAGATCGTTCAGTCAATAAAAAGGTTTTCCCTGCCGACGCGCGGTTATTGCGCCATCCTATCTTTTTATGCCATCTCCCTCCTTTTTTTCTTCTTCTACCCACTGATGGTCTTCGCGTTAACAACATGCTCCTTTTCCGAGCCCATCGTCTACTCGATATCTGTGATTGACGTTGATGATGCGCAGTCACTTAACGCTATATGGACCCAAGGCGGCGCGTGGAACCGACCAGCCATTAAAACCTGGCTCGAAGGGAGTTATTTTTATTTTCTTGAATAACTTTGAAAAGCTCGGCATTGCGTTCGTGATCCAGAGGAACCCCCGGTTTCGAGGACATTTTCGATGATAGACTTTGATTTGAAAGAGAGAGGGAAGAAGACTTGGGTGAGAAGTTGGGGAAATGAAGGAATCAACACGAATGCTTGGTTACTCTGTCAGTCAGACCGCACAAATGTTAACTAGGTCATCGTGAATACGACTGAAAATTGTCCTGGTGTATTAGTAGAGTCGTGAAAATTCCGTGATACATTTTTACCTTCAGATACGGCGGCAGAATGTTTGTAAGGTTCGTTGTTAATTAAACGAACATTTATATCCATTGCATGGGTTTCGTCTGATTTTTCTGAAAGCCTCCTTACCCTTGTGGAGTCCAAAACCTTTGAGAGGCTGTCTGTTAACTGAAATACTTTAAATGTTTTTTTTTTGCCTCCCATGCCTGCAAAAGTACTTTTTCGCCCACAAACTCGGACCCAATTTGTTCTAGTGTGACATTTTCACGCAGAATATTAGACGAAAACGCCTGTTGATGACGGGGCTTATTCTATGCAGGTTGTGTCACGCACCTCTAGATCACGAAAAAAAGTTCAATTATGTGAAGTTTTGAACCTTGTCTTTTTGTAAAGTTTGTGCAGAAGAAACGTGGGAAAGATGCGAATACAAGAATAGAATCGTACCGTAATCTCCACGATTCAACGAGCTTCGGAGTGGAAACGAAAAAAATGAAATTTCAGGACAAATGACAGTTTGATTCACTCGCTAATAACTCAGCAGGCAATAGAGACACCGCAACTTTTTTTTTTTAGACTTAAAACGTTTAGTATTCTGTTTTCAAGGTTTTAAACACTGATCCAGGTCCTTAAAATGTTGTTACCCTTCCCCAGGTACCAGGTTCCAAGCTCCTGTTGTAATCCTCAACCGAGATCATTTCTTCTCATTCCCACCCTGCGTTGACAATAATTTCACGACTGTAAGCCCAAAAACGTTTGGAAATGATAATTTTTTGTCTGTTGAGTCGAGGGCGAGTAGATTTTGCCATGCGAAGTAGTCTGTTTCTCGTAATGGGAGCCTTTTAAAAACTTTACTTGGACTTACTTCTGAATCGGTCATAATTCTGGAAAACACGGTAGTAATGTCAAAATTCCTTTTTGGGAGCGCCTAGACTAAATGCCGAGCTCTGATGATGTACTGTATACTGGAGCCATTGTTGTTTAAAGATCACGTTGGGCGAAATTATTTGCTGCCTACCAGCCGTACATTTTATTGGAGGTACAGTAACATGATTGCAATTGTAACGGACATGCTCGGATGGTAATGAATCGTGATTTGTAATTTGCAGTCCCCTTTGAGAATGATTCGTAGCTTCGTTAAGTGTTCATTACGCAAGCGTCATTACATTTCACGCAGCCCGAAGAAAATCTTGGGTTCGTTAAGGGTTTGTTTTCTTTTTCTTTTCTTTAAGACCTATCCTTTTATTTTTTACATTTCAGGATATGCCATTCCTGTATTCGCGTTATATTTCCTGGTTTCATGTACTGTACTGTATATACTCGCTTTCGCAAGAGATTGCTCGGCTGCATGGCTTCAATTCTCATTTGCAGGCATGTCCACAGCTTGAGTGATGTGTGCTGCATTTCAAAAATGCTTCACGTTCTGTCCCAAAAACATTTTTAACGAACCACTGCTTCCACTAAAGTCCCAGAGACCTCGCCTGGCTGAAGTCACAACAAGAGTTTTACTTTTCTATGCTCAACTTTAATGTCATTGGCGTGTAGTGCCAATTTTTTATCTGCCTAAATCGTGCTCTGGTTTTTGAATGTGAATCAAAAATGTGATTACATTCAAAAATTATGGGTATGATTTCCTTCCGTTTTCTCGAAAACCAGCAGCAGAGAAAGTTTCCATTTCATCTCCCGAACTCTGATCGTTTTTGCGATGATGTCAGGATTACTCGCGGCCGTTCCTTCGCATTAAATATTTCTTCGACACGGATTTCATGACTTACTGTGGGTTCAGAAACTCCTTTAAATATTCTCAGTTTCATCTGCTGATTGGTGCATGATTCACTCTTTATGAGACGAAGTGAGTGATGCGCAATGCCACCGGTTGTGTGAAATCTTCACCAGGAAGTGAAATCTTCACCAGAACACGCGATGATGATGATGGAATTTTTCTTTCCCCCTCCCGTGTTGTTTCCCCCAGATCAACGCAATCACGAGTTGGATCGATGGCAGCTTCGTCTACTCCACCATGGAAGCCTGGGTGAACACTATGCGCTCTTTCCGCAACGGTACTTTTGTGTCGCGCACATTGTCACGCCGGTCGGCTCCGTCGAGCTCGAATCAACGCCGGCCCGTCGAATCAGCAAAGACCAACGAATCTTCTGCGGCAAGCGAGGACGCTGCTGCTGCTGCTGCTGGTGTCGGTGGCAGCGAGGAGGCGAACACGACGGAACCACAATTACTCGTCGATGCCGAGAGCAACATGATTGTTGTGGAAGACGCGGCTGACGGTGCCACGTCGCCCAGCTTCGAGGGCGAGTTTCCGCCCAAGAACAAGGCCCGAGTCCCGCTGTTCAACTTCCCGAACCCGCATCAGCTCCGGCAAATGAGCCCCGAGAGAATGCTAGGTTGGTTTATTCATTTATTTTTATTACTGTATTATTATTATTTTTTGTTTCTTGCGTAATCTTTTTCGAGGTATCACTACTGCGAGTCGATTTCGGCGTTGAGGACATCTCGCGGATCATGTTGAAAGCTTGAATAGTGCGTTTAATTATACAGTCGGTATTTGGTAATACAGTAGTGCGAGTACCACCCTGACATTTTTTTTCTCTTCTTGGGAATCCATTCAAAAATATGGGGTACACGTCTTACTCAGGTACATTAAACATGTATTCACAAAATAAAAATTTGGTGCGAATATTTAATACTCGATATTTAGGATAGAAATGTTTAAAAAAGGTTTGAAAATCTGCGAAAATAAACTTTTTAAAACTTGCCAAGAACATTGGATTTTTTTTGTTATTTGATGCAAAATCAAAATTTGCATATATTTTGGATTTAATAATCGAATGTTATGGTCACCAAAAACCGATGTACGCGGGATACATTTTCGCCAAAATTTTCCTCTGCAAAATCTTACTAGAGAGAGCATTGTACTAAATTAAATATGGTACTGTTGTATTGCATATCAAGGTAGACTCTCTCCACAATAAAATTCAAGGGAGCGACAAATTTCATTGTAGAGAGAATTTCGTTGAAGATGATTCCTATAACATATGGATAGAACCCTATGGAACCGGGCCGTAATTCTTGAAATGAAATTGGTTATAAAGAGATTCCACCTGTATCCTCTTATATTGAAAAAATGCATAGAGGGATATTATGAGAAGAAAAGGTTCTATGACAAACTGTTTTTCCAAAGCTTTGGAATAAATGGATTTTTTGTCAATACTTTCGTGCAGAGCAGTTCGGCAAACAAAGAAATTCGACGTTGAATATTTTCAAGTAAACCTGATAAGTCGAACAACGCTCTTGCTGAATAATGTGCAAGTCCTTGTCGAAATCATCTCGTTGATTTGGTAATGTTTTGGCGGATTTGTACAAATTTTTGATGAATTCATCGCTTTTTTATAGAACACAGTCGGAATAAAATAAGATGAATTGGCGCAATGACCTTTTCATTTCCTTCAGCCTTTTCATGTGAGAACTTGAAATAACCTTCGGAATTATTCATCAGTGCCCCGGGAAATCATCTTTTTTCTTCTCCTCAGCTCGTGTACTGGCATTTTTAATTGTTTCGGTTCCTTTGGTGGAGAGCAGTCTGGTGAAATTCAAGACATCGACTTCATAACCTTGCGTTCAAGTGACCGTAATCATTCGAGAATTTGGAATAATCTGAATTATTCATCAGTCCTTCGGAGATCGCAATTTCCTCTGGATAATGCTGTTTTAATGCAGTTTCAACTAGCGCAGTTCCCTTTGGAAGATTCTTCAAAAGGGAACTTGTAAATTTAGAGCAATTGGCTTCGTAACCTTCTGTTCAACTTAACTTCAAATCGCTCTGAAGAATTCAGCGCATTGAGAAGCCATCTTGTAGATTTCCAATCTTCTTCAATACCGGTCGACTGTTCTTTGTTGCATAGTCTGATGCATTCAGCGGAATTGGCTTTATAATCTTGCAAACCTGGAAAAGCTGTGGAAGTATTCGTAAATAAGTCGTATTTTGCCTCTCGAAAAAACTCGTCGGAAATTCCTTTTATACCCTTTTTTCTTTCCTTTTCTTGGAACAATTAGGTTAATCTAATGAACATTGGTTTTATAGCCTTGAGTTTAATTCAACGTGGCCTAAAAATAAGCAGCTGAAATATTCGTGAGACCTTACGAAAATAATTTTGTCACTTCGGTTATCATCTTACAAATGTATTCCCTCATATTGTCAACTGCTTCTTCGTTTTTTTTTCTTTTTATCTTAGAGCAGAGTTTGTCAAAATTAGGGAAAATCGAGATCAACTATCTTTCCAGCTTCAAATGGTCCTGTGCAAAAGACGTGCATCAATAATTTTCTACAGATGTTGAAAAATAGAATACTCGATAAACTCCGGGAGTTCTCGAGTATAAGGAAACCAGCATTTTTTTCTTTAAAAAATAAAGAATTATAGAAAAGTGAAATTGTGATCTCTTGTGCTTTAAACTGCTGGATTAGGTTAATTGACAGGATTTGAACTTGGAGACAGAGGCGCATTCGCCCAGTTATACAAGCTTCAAGTTATATTTTATTGTTTTTATATATCCTGCGAATATACCGCATAGCCAAGAATAATAGCCCAAGGGAATCCAGAAATTCAATTTGTAGAGATTTTAGGGTGGGACAGTCTTTTGGGAGGTTTTAAGAACATTTCTCTTGACGGAATTCAGACTGGTGAAAAATCGATTTGCTGGTTTTCAACTTCGGCAGGTTCGATTTAGCGAGGCTCAACTGTATATGCACATTAATGGCATTTAGTCTGCGTATCCCCCCAAGTCGTTCCTTCTTTCAACAAAAAGTTGGTGCATAAATGAAAAAAAATTAACCAATTTTCTCTTCAAAAAATGTCTGTTCCATGTTTCAAATCCAAGTTCATGAAATATCTTATCTATAAATATAGATAATATAGATATAAATATAGATGTAAATGTAGACGTAAATATAGATATAAATATATATGTACAGTATATAAATGTAGATAAAAATATATATGTACAGTATATAAATATAGATAAAAATATATATGTACAGTATATAAATATAGATATAAATATATATGTACAGTATATAAATATAGATATAAATATATATACAGTATATAAATATATACAGTATATAATTATATACAGTATATAAATATATAAATATATATATATATATATATATATATATATAGATAAAACTGTGTATTAAAATACACAGTTTATCTTCCTATATGAACACAGCCTTTTGCGGCGGAGTACATGCTGTAGTCGTCTAGTAAATATGGCGAAGCACTATTTCCATTGGCGAACTGTGGCTCAAGTCTCGACTCTCCCAATCTGAAGCGAGATCGATCACCTGACCACTGCAGAGGTTCCTGTTAATCAGGTCTTCCCAATTACCGCGACGAGGCGGTGATGGTTCTTTCCTTACCTGCCTTGACACACCACTGGTTGCCCCAGTTCCCGAATCACTTAACATCTTGGTGTTGGCTAAGATGACTGGAATTGCAGCCGTCTGTTCATTAGCGTCTGTCGCTTGCGGTGAAGTTTAGACTGCTCGAGACCTTGGTTTCCTATTTCTGATCGTTGATGCGCATCTCGGGGACGGAAGGGATGTCATTAATTAAGTGAAACACCGAGCCAAACCCGACCTGAACTAAAGCTTGCAAAACGGAGCTACTAAAAAAAACCTGACCTAACCATATGTTTCGAGTATTCTGAAAGCCCCATTCGATTACGAGCAGAGGTTTCCATCACCTTCTTACGTAATTCGAGGATATCTCTGTTCTGGCGTGACGAAAACGTGGTTTTTTTTTATAGGACAAGAGAAGCAGTCCAAATTAAGTCGGACGCCTCGTGCATTCTTAATTTGAAAAGGAATTTATTATTTTATTTTGCAGTTCTGGGTGATCCGAGGACGAATCAGAACCCTGCATTGTTGACTTTCGGAGTACTGTTCTTCCGATGGCACAACGTTCTGGCACGACGGGTACAGCAACAACATCCTGACTACACGGACGAACAAGTTTTCCAGCGTGCCAGACGACTTGTAATTGCCTCTATGCAGGTTCGTTGTAGTACTGAAATTCTAAAAAAATAGAATCCCTCAAATTCTGCGGAATCTCGATTATCCGGACTTGAATGAACCGCGCATAAATTCTCACCCGATTGTTTGGAACAGAATGGCCTCCAAAATTTGGCTGCTTCACGCCACTCAGGTCGATTAAAATTCAATTTTCATTAAAATCTTCAGGCACGCATCAGAAAGCAAACAAAAGCGCGGATTAAAAATATTTTCTACTGCTCATGATGCATTAAAAACTATGGAGGCCATTGGTTTCCTGTAAATTTACATTGTATCGCCTCTAGCCCTCTCGGAATTTTTCGTCATCCCTATTTTAAATCACCAGTATCTATACTGTATTTAATTATCTGGTCGAAAGCCCCAGGTGAATACCCTGGATAAGCAGGGTTCTACAGGGATTTGAAAGAAACGTGAGAGAAAATCCTGACCGTTAAAGGTGTTGCCGTATTTTTGCTCTCGAATTCTTGCAATGTTTTCGAGAAGTATGCATGGAGAACTCCGAAAAAGAAAAGTGTTCGCTGTCTATCAGGAAGATAGCAGAAACTGCTTTCTTCGCAAAATATAAAGTTATATTTTTGGGAAAGAATCTGGATGTCATACTGTTTTGTTCTCGGCTGGCTCTTCATAGCCTGCAATAAAACATCCTGAAATTAGCGATCTACTTGTTTGGCCGAAGTGTAAGCTCGATAGATGGGAACTTTAATGTCTCAAAGGCTCTGGATACTGCTCGTCTTGTCAATTTTTACGATGTCTTAGTTATATGCTGGCATTCCCATCCGTTTGATGTGAAATCTTTCTGTCGGGGTTCTGGATTATATGATGTGCTGGTTGGGCTTCGAGCGGTATAATTCGAAAAACCACACGAAGGAGGCTTTTTTTTTTGCAATTGAAGCGTAAGGCACCGCATCAGAATATCTTGCATAAAATAGAGAGAGGAAAAGATGTCGGGCATCGACCTCCAATCTCTCAGAATAACCTGAAAATTGAATAAATGGTTCGATTTTGAAAGTACTAGCCCAGAAAAACTAGGCTATGTCTTTATAATAAAATATAGGGCTGTGTAAATTTCTCATATAAGATGGGGGAGAAGCAAATTTTATGATGCTCTATCTTCAATGTCGTTTTCACTTTTTTGCCAATATCTCTTGGAATTTTCGCTGGCAGGAATATACCGGTACATCGAAGATCTTCGAATCTTGTTCTGAAGCAACTAAAATCGAAGAAAGTATGCTGTATTTCAAACGCATTCAAGCATTGCAAACAAAGAATGCTATCAAGTCTCGTAAAAAGAATTCAAGTAATTGATGCAAAATCTGAAATTGCAACGCCTGTAAATTTTCATTTAGGAAAGGGGAAATCGCAATTTATGTGACTCAAAAATTCAAAAGGTCAGACATTTTATGATCGAAGCATAATGAATCAAACTCAGCCAGATTTTTCTGATCTTGCCGCTAAACTGGCAAAAATTGACTGGGCATAAATCGACAAAATTTCTTTTTCTGAAAACCGCTGGTCATTTAAAACTGGGCTCGGATCAGTCTGTAAATAAATGCAGTAGTTGAATTTGTTTCTGAAACTTACAGGTCATGACCAAATCCCCCTTTTTTTTAAACCGAAAGACCCACTTTTCAAATTTTTAGGCTTGCGAAAAAATAAACTTTTCACAAGCCTCTCGCTCTGGCAGCGTGTTCCGCCCTAATTATATCACCGATGACGAAGTGGAAAATTTGTGCTCGGAAAGCTTGTTGAGTTTTTCTTCCTTTTCGAGGCGCTTAAAAGCAGAGCATTCTTTTACACAATGCGTGAAAAAGAGTGCAACGATAAAAGTATAAAACGAATAGTCCATAAATCCAAGAGGGCGGCCAAATAAGTAAAGAAATCCATTGCGCAATGGTTACTGGTGCTGCGCATAATCCTGCTTAGAACTACGGTACAAGACGCCGGCGTCCTGAGGGTAATGGCGGAATTAAGCGAACCCATTCTTTTAAAAACGGCTTTTGTGTCAGTTCTTTGTGCAAAATATAGAAAAACCCAGCTGTGCTTGAATGTCGTAACGCTAATCTGAGTTAAACAGGAAGATGAACGAAAAATGAGAAGGAAAAAAGAAAAGAGCTGGGGCTTGGAAGTGAGAGAAAGAAACGGAAGCTCCTTCCAGCGGATTTTTTTTCGACGGGAAGTCGTTGCCAGAGGACAGGAAACGACGTAATTCACTGACAAAGCGCTTCAAGTAGTACTAGAATGTCTTGTACGTGATGTTTTTGCTAGGATTTATTCGTTGCGAAACTTCAGCTGAGCATTCTTCTCTCTTGCTTTTCCGTTTTGTTTCTTCGGTTTTTTTTCATAGTCGTAAGTGAAAACGTATTTCCCTCGAAAGCTTTTCAATGCAGTCGAGTTTTTAAAACTGAAGATAAGTATGCGTCTCAGGAAGTCTCCGAACACTTTTGTGGACCGTGTAAAGTACGGTAGTTATTATCTCCTTTTGGTAAAATTCTTCATAGACGGCGAAGTGCTACCACGGATGCGTTGAAGCACCTGAGACGAGAAGTAACAAAAAGAAGTTCAATTTTTTTTCGACGGAGAATGAGGGTTTTCATGCTTAAACATTGGATCCTCAGCCACAAGTTGCCCTTCGGCGGTTCGCTTAGAATTTCAAAACCAACTCTTTCTGGGATCTGCGGAGGAAAATAGGAAAATTCACCAGGTGTTTTTATGCTTTTGACGCGAGTTCTGGAGCTGAAATATGTTACTGTACTCCAGTATTCTCAGAAGTCCTCGGTTTTTCTCAGAAGCTCACAGAAGTGGAATGCAGTAAAATCCATTACAACTAATACCATTACAACAAGATGGAAAATATGAACCCAACAAAACTCACGTTAAAAAGGGTTTCTATGCTTGAGAAACAATACTGATGCTTGAAAATTGTAAGCTATTTTGGAACATCCACCCTTACAAATCTGTTCATGAATTGCTTAGAAAACCTTACTCAACAAAACTTGCTAGTGTACACCTGTTATTCAGATTAATTGCTCCTTATTAACAAATCTATTTCTTTTTGAAAATATCAATTTTTTAAAATGCTGAGAAATATCTGAAAAAGCCACAAATAGAAAATGTTGGAAGTATGCAGGTTTAATTTTCAGAAAATTTTCCCATCAGTCAAAAATTTTGAAAATCTCAATGTAACAAATAATCTGTTATAAGAAACTTTCAAGAAGTCCACACAAGTTTGTTGTAACAAGAATTTTTCCTGATTTTTTTAAATAGTATAGTGAAAAGTCTAGATTATCTTCCATCCTCAAGTACCAATTTTAGGCATTCAACAATTACAAACAAATTTTTCCGATTCAATTTTGTTTAACAAACGGTCCAAGCAGCTATGCTGTTACACGTGCTTGGAGTGTTACGAAGGATATAGTGTACTAAACTTTAGTACAGTAATGACAAACTGAGGTAACAGAAGTCATTTCGAAACTGATCCAGTTTTGGATGCGTTTTATTTTCAAAAATAAATAAAAGAAGTGACTGACATTGACTTAGCAAACGCATTAAAATCAGTGATCATCGCATCAAAATGCGTGCAATTTACTGCTTATTATTGACATTTATGTTGAATATACTGTTGAAGCAATTCGGGCCGTTTCCAGTTTTCTAAAATTTCAATTCCGTGATTTTTTTCATTATAAACTATTGTACTTTTAATGCATCGTCCACTCCAATTGCTTGTGAGCTTCAACAGTTTTTGATAGCTGAAGCAAATTTTTTAAATTTTTAAGAGGAAACCGCTTGGAAAAATTAAGATGAGAGCTGATTTGATTTCATTTCGCTAAAATTTAGATTTCGTATGGCGGCTTAAAATAATAAATTTGTCAGCTTCTGAAAATTTTCGACAATTAACGTTTTTTTTTGGTGTAGGACATTTTTTTGCGCTTGCGCCTCAGCAAATTGGGTCACTCGCTTTATTTCTAGAATTACGAGAGTCAAAAACCCAGAACAGAATAGTGGAAGTTTTAAAAAAGTACGTCCATTTCTTTACATCTAAAATTGACAGAAAGGCTGAAATCTTGGGGGTTTTGAAACGCAAAATTTTCGTATTGTTTTCGTCCACTCAGGCGTGAAATAATCTTTCTTTAATCGCCCGCGGCTTCATGAACCTGCATGCTCAGTGAACTTGATGCCGCTAAAATCGGTTCAAAAGAATCCATCCGCGCTTTTTTTTTCATGCTGGCCGACGGAAGATCTACTTTTTCCAAAAACTTGACATTGTTAACTTCTGCCAGCTTGGTCTTTTTTCTCCTCGCATGACAAATTCGGTGGCACGATGCGAAAGTTTCCTCTGTTCGTTGGCGGGCGCCATCCCCCTCTCGGCATTTCCTCACCCGAAAAAAAATAAAAATAAAAATCCCAGAGTAAGGATGGATCACTATATATAACGATGAACAAAATGAACAGCAAACTAAATGCACACTTTGCGGTGTGCAAGTGAAAAAAAAGACCCGGGGAGAAAGAAAAAGAGACCAGAGAGGTGAAAACGAGCTTCCAGGTCATCACGGGCTGCTAGGGAAGCGTGACTCGCGTGATGACTGCCCCAGCACCAGCAGCAGCAGCAGCGCCGAGGCTGCGAATGCGTCGCACTCTCCTTGCTTTGACGCGTCGTGGACTTCTGCAATTTTCGCGTCTCTCACGTTCAAACCGTTCGTGTGAAGGCGAAGTGAAACAAATAATTATTCTCTTCACACACCTGACGATCCTTCTTACCCTATGCAGTTTATTATTTACTTGAAAGTAAGACGCACTTCTTTAAAAAATAAATAAAAAAATTTCCAATCAGGGTACGTCTCATACTCATCCACTTTTTTCTCGTAAATCAATCGGTGCACGATTGGTTCTAGCCAACTCTACATTACAAATAATACTTGTCTAAAATGCAATTGGAAAAATGCTTGCTATCCTTGCTCTATTCTTGGGCTCAAAAGATGGAATTTTAATTCGTATTTGAAGTACCTGTACTGTATCAAGGAAATTTTGTTCATACTGTAACGGTGTAACCATATCACGACTAGAATCAATCGACACCCACAATTCGAAAGAATGTAATGAGAGATCGTCTTATATTCACAAGCAAAATTGTTTTCATTTTTGACGACAAAAATTAAGAAGATGAGCATTATTTTAATTTTTTGGCGTCTTATAGTCGTGTACATACGACAAGACTCTTCATTCGACATTAAAAGCTAATCCGCGTATATCTTACCACTCGAATAAACGTTTTATCCCTAACATATTTTTCAAAGATTTAAGGTTTCAAAGAATGTGATATTCTGGATATACGCATCAGTTTCCAAGACACTGTACAGGCGGCTTTCTCTCTTAGAAGTCTGAAGTTATAAATTAATGCTTGAGAGATCAAATGAATCATTTTAGAGAAAAATTCCTTATAGTATAGCTCTTGAAAATTGAGCCATTGCAGAGACCATAAAATTCACTAGAAGCTCTGTCCCATTCCTCCAAAAACGCGAGAATTTTGGATAGTCGAAAAAAGTAATTTATTCTGCGATGGCCTTAATTGATACTAGCGAATTCCCTTTAAATCTCGCAGAGCTCCGAAAGCAATATATTTTCCTGACGCCCCCCAAGTAACGAAATATTAGGGAAAAATAATTGAATAATAATGCGTCCAGATGACGATTTATGCTGCTAAGATGCCTTTCGGTCCCGAATTTGGGGTAACATTAGGGGCACTATTAATCAAAGCCTGAATTATAGAGATTCCGTTGTGGATGAATTGTGTCCAAGAAACTGGACCGAAACCACACACAAAAAACTTACCACGTGAAGAAAATTTTGAGAGGATATCTTATGTCGTTTGTTAAGGCTTCAAAGTATGATTTCAATCCGTTACAAAATTAATTTCCTTCAGTTTGCTTACTTTCAATGAATCTTCCATAATTTTTAAAAATCCTGACCACAGATATCAGAGGAAGAAACCCTGGGCTATGAAATACTTCCGAACTCGTCCGAATCCGCTAGTTTTTGCGTAAACTGATAAATACGCCAATGAGCTTTAAAATGATCAGCCGTACAAAAATGCATCTAAAATTCATTTTGTAACACCAGGTAATCAAAAAAGTAACCTGTCAACTTTAAAATACAATTAAAAACAAATATCCAGTCCATGGGTGTGGCGAGTACGCTTGAATCTCGTTATCGCAACCTTGCTCTTATTCTCGATTTTGAAGTTGATCCCGGGTTTCAACGACGCCTTTAACCGTAAAAAAAAATAAATTGAAAAGCTTGATATCTCAGATTAAAGCGTCCGCAAATGCGCGCATAAAATGAAGCGATAGTGAGAGATTGAGAAGGCAAGGAAAAAGAAACTGCAATTTGTTCATCATATTTGATGGCTGCCGGCGAGACGCCTGATGTGACCCGAGGGCATTGCATCGCGGCGGGGGCTCTCAAAAGGGTACTGAGTACCTTGAAGAGTGCACCTGCTGAGGAGACGAAAAGCGGCCCGCTTTTAGAAAAAGATTTCGTTTTTGCCCAGCTCAATGGCGATGAAGGAAAAAAGAGAAACCCCACGGAGTAGAACTCCTCTGAAGTTTCCTCGTCCTTGCCTTCAGTTCACGTGCATCGGTTTGCATTCCTTCATGAGTTTTAAGGGGAAGGGGAGGGGGTCATAATTTAATTTCAGGAATTCCAGTAAAATTGTGTTGTTTTGGGTTCCCTTGGGCAGCAACTTACTTCAGTAATGTGGTACGTGGACGAAAGACACGTTGAGCGCTTCTTGAAATGTCGCGTACAGGAAAAAAAGCGTGATCGAAACAGTGAAGATGGAGAAACAAGATTTCGCAAAAAAGAATTTCCATTGAAAATCATTGCATCAAGCCCTAAACGCCACTTAGTTTCAGACACGATGCATTCAGGGTTTCTTTTAGCGCTTCCAATAAAAAGAAGCCTAATTTAAATGACTATAGGCCACGTGCAACTATTGGCTGCTTCCTGATTTAGGCAGCCATTCTTCAAAAAAATAAAAATAATTACGTACAGGTTGCGAATGAACTCTAAAGTTTTTAGCGAAAATACGGTCTATACTCAAATTTAAATAAAATTTGGCTTGTCGACTCTTCAGCAACAGTTTCACTCTCAGAAAGACTATCTAGCTTTTTAATGAGGGTCCTTGTGTTGCGAACATGATCAACTGTTTAATTGATCAGTTGGAAACTGACCGATTTCCAAGTTCTAAATTTGGGAATTAATCATTTATTTAAAATCCGCTAGCAAAAATCGGAAACGTTTCTAGAATCTCGAGTTCGAGTCACGTTTTTGAATTTAATGAAGTTCTCGCACCAAATTCAAAGAGGCTGTACAATAGCAGAAAAATGTTTGTTGAGCAGAATTAATAGGTACCTATCGGATCTTATAGTTGAGCACATACGGTAAGCCCATAATTGGCAAATAGCAGGTTTTTTTCTGCGATTGACTTGTTTTATTGTCTTAACAATTTTAGACACTCGTCTTAGTAATCTTGGGAATTTTGTCGACAAGTCACGTAACTAGAAAATCCTTGTGGGTATATCGTGCATGTAAGTGAAATACAATTTCAGGATATGGACTTGAATTAAATTAATTTTCACTATGACTAGTTTTCTATACATTGAAGGAACACGGGGAGATCTAGGTCAAATTTTTAAAAGTTTTCGTGAATGGTTCAAGTTTTTGACAGACCGAGTTAATTCGCAAGAATGCCGAATTAAACCTCCGAATGCTTCTTCTTTCAGTAAATCGCGCACCTGTATTCATCAGTTGACGCACTATTTTAGTTTCTCCTTGCGGATTTTTTTTCGTGTACCACCTGGCAAGTTTATCACGTATCACCATTTGAAAAGCCATCCTTTTAGGTCCTGCTGTTTTTGGACACGCAAAAAAAAAAAGTGTCCCGCTCTGTTTCAACGATGTCGCCGTCGTCGCCAATCTTCTCGAGCATTGGAGCATATTTTAGTGGTTTCTATGCCGCATATCATCGCGAACAGGAAATAAGTACGGATTTTCGCATGGCTGCCCATGTGAACCATTTCTTCTCACGTTTGATCATTTGAAAGTCATCGAAACTGAAGGGATGAAGAGGTGGGTAGGCTTGGTTTTACAAGAACAACCTGCAACATTTCAACCGATTCAACCTTGCGCGCAGCGGACTGGAGTTGAGGCTGACCTTGTTTGTGTTGCGGTCGGTGTTTGAAGAAATAAAAATCGGCGACAGGAATCCATAGTGGAATAGGCATTCAGTAATATTACTGAAATAGAAAACAAGAAGAAATAGTTCCTGACACTTCTCATGGAACACACATTTTTTAATGATCCTATGTTGGTTCCTTTCGAAATGTTTCGCCAGTTTTTAATAGCTTTTTTTGTGGAGCTGCGGTTGTTTCTCGCGATAGTTTCGTGCAGCATTACTGTACTAAAATACTTGCCTGAAACAAATTTGAAGTCTATCGTTGTTCAGTGTTTTTCGTTTCAGTACGATCGAGTCCATGTTTGGAGGGTAAAATCAGACCCTATCTTGGTAAAATATCGAGGGAGAAGGTCGGGGGAAAAAATCTTGCAGTGCGAAATGTGAGAATACAGTAGAAACCAACGCTTTTGGAAAGAAAAGCAGTCAATCTATATTATCGAATTAGAATCAAATTTTTTTATATTCTGGATGAAGGGTAGATTTTTACTGCGCATTGCAAGTTACAGTATAAAAATTCTTTATATACTTTTTATTGTCAATCAACGCGGAAGGGGGGTTCCCATTTGTGTTTTAAAAATGTGTTCCTACTCGCTCGACCGAGCTATGATACCTTTGCATTTACGAAATGTGAAATCAATCGATGTAATCGAATCACTGATATGTTTTTTGCGGAATACCAACCGAATCGGTTTAGCTGCGAAATTTTCTCCTGCTCGGTTCCCATGGTTTCTGCGGAAGCTCGATAAACAATTCTCCACTTCGTACAAGTTTAATGTGGTGATTTTTCTCCTGTTCTCTTTCAATTTCCAGAACATAATTGCCTACGAATTCCTGCCTGCCTTTTTGGGAGAGAATTTGTCCGAGTACGTTGGATACAAGCCGGACGTGCATCCCGGAATCAGCCACGTTTTCCAAGCTGCGGCTTTCCGATTCGGTCACACCATGGTTCCGCCTGGGCTTTATCGACGAAGTGGACAATGCGACTTCAGAAGGGCTCCCTCTGGAGATCCAGCCTACAGACTGTGTTCCACTTGGTGGGACGCCAACGTGAGTCTCTCTTTCGCACTTTTAAGTATCTTTGCTTCCGGAAATCGGCGTTTATTCTTTTGGTAGTGGAGAGAAACCGTACTTTCACTCTCCGAGTCCCCGTCTTACGGCGTCTTTATCTCATGGAAAACCTGATCAAACGCGTGTCTTGACGCGTTCTCGAAGCTTCTGCCAAAAATTTTGACTCTTCCGAACTCGACTTCTTGAATCAGAATCGAGGAAAATATATCATTGAAGCTCCAAAAATAATTATAAAGTGCAGTATTTGATACCATTGTTTTATTTAGTTTTCTAGCTGAAGTTCGTTTAATTCTAAGTTGAAAAATTATACATTTGTTGAAGCACGACTTTCGCCCAAATGTCTCGCATCCGGAAAAAAAAACTGACGTGAGAACATCATTCTTGAAGTCTACCCGCGTTTATTATATTGATTCAAAAAAAGTGATCTTTTTTTGTTATAGATGTTTTTAAAGCCACTGTTCTCTCCGATTTAGATTTTGCTAATTTCTATCGGCTAACTTGAAGAATTCGACCTGAAGATGTACAAATGCAGAACAGTACAATAATCACATTAACTTGAAAATTATTTCCCATGAGAATATTGTGACTAGGGGTGCATATTAAAAATGAAATTAACAAAACGATGAAGAAGGGACAGGCGAGGAAGAGCTTGATAAGCAAGTGTAACAACTTTTCAAGACCAGGTATAAAAAAAAATTTGAAAAGCGACAAGGGATTTTTTTCGAAGTGCCCTCCTCGTCATTTGCTATCAAAAATTTTCGTTCGTGTACTTGCTCTGTATATATAACTTCTGAAAGAATCAAAATTCTGAAGGAAAGATGGTTCACATTTTCAAATAATCTTATCAAAAAATTTTGATAATCAACTTTGATTTGATCAACTGTAGCAGCCATGCGACTCGCAGGTTTTACTACCTAAAAGTGTTATATTTTTTTGCCGTTTGTGCAGAATTGACTTCGACATGAAGTTCGTGATGCAGTCGGTCGATTTTATTGCTGGAGAAACCCGCAGGAGCAAGACTGAGCATGTGCGAAAGCATCAGTCATCCCTGCATTGAATCACTCAGGTCGTTCGAAAATAAAAACGCTATTCCGCTCACCTTTTAATTTCATCGCGGCAACCTTTTTGCCTTGACATGCCCGAGCGGTTCAAATCGAAATGCCACGAGAGAGAAGCCTCCTCTTGTGACAGACAGGGTATTAAAAGAAGAGCCGCGATGTTGAATTGATGGTAATTGCTGGGAAGAAATGCCGGAGGGAGGGCTATAGAAACTCGCTTTTGTGACGCAGACAAGTTGAGAAAAGAATTGAATAGTAAAACGAAAAAAAAAATAAAGACGCCGAAGAGAACAAGGTACGAGCCAAATGATGAGCAGTTGCGGTGAAGAATGTCTGTGTCGGTGAAACAGATACCTCGCTTCTCGTAATTTAATGGACTCTTTTGCCCACTTGCTCCTTTCACTTTGGCACCTTCAAACTTTTGATTCAATGTTTTCCCCCTTGTGGCGTGTTTAATATCTTATTAATTCCGGCAACAATTCCCCACACCCCCACAGAAATTTGAGACATCCTTTCAGCGGCATGTTTTCTCGTGTGTGTGTTTGTGTGCGCATGCGTGTTCCGTGCAGTCATTATAAAAATGATTAAACAATGACGGGACGGCCTCAAGGTTAATTTGTTGGGCATTGTGATGTTTTTTTGGGGGGGGGGGGGGCTTTTCAATGGGCTCTTTTTCTTTTCACGTAAGTTAGTAATTGGGGCGAAGAAGTATTGGAGCTCGGGCTGAATGAAAGAACCCGAGTTGGCGGGACACGGGAGATTTGTTTTGGGATATCGCCGTGTTTTGACCGTTACCCTCGGGTGATGCCCGCGGTCCACGCTGTTCGTCAAAATCACCGTCAGAGAGGCTGCCGAATAAATCGTGCGTCGGGTGTCTGACTTGACAGACACGGGGTTTTATGTAAAATTTGATGAACTATTTCATCAGTTGGACTCGCTGGCGCCATGCGTTTGAGGATTTGAATAAAAACGAATTGATGTTGAGGCACTTTCGAATGAGTTAGCGGCGCTCACGTAGCGTAGGAGATAGGATTTATTGAGTCATTCGAGATTACTGTACTTTAACTTTCGGCTCACATTAATATTTGCTGGAAAAATGCAGTTTAATCTGGCTTGCATACCTTTCAGCTGATTATGATGAATACAGTACTTGATTGAGGATTGCTTTGATTATAGTTATTTGGTTTAGTTCGGTTAGGCTTTGACTTTGAGCTTTTTTGATTGGATTTTTTGTATGGTCAGCTGAATCTCTTGATTTGCCAAGACCTTTTTCAGCGTGCGGGGCTTGAGTTCGTCAGTCTTGAGTTTCATCTGTCGAAAGATGGAAATGGAAGAACTTTTCTTGGAGTCATATTTAATCGTTATTTGATCCTTTTTTCAGTTGTAACCCACCCGGGCTGGAATTCACCCTATTTGTCATCCTAATGTGAATAGCGAATTTTTATAAAAATTGCCTTAATCATGTCGTCCTGCATTTTTTTTTAGATTTGTAGGTGAAGTTTCTAGATTACTCATGACCAACTTAATCTTTCGAGGGAAAATTTTCAATTTAATTTAGGGAAAGTGCGTGAGGGTTTGCTAGTGTTTGAGGAAATTTAACCTTGTAACTGAAGCATGAGTAACATCTACGAACTCCTCCAATTCTGAAGGAATTAAATTCATTGAAAGAGCCTTTTCCAGAGGAAGGCGTATTTAAAATTTTGAGGGATAATAGAAGTGTCTGTTGGACTGACGGGGTTTTAATTTCGGTTAACATAGGCACGGCATTTGAATTTGTTTCAACGTGTGTTCTTAGATCAGCTAGTGGCGTTTCTGTCGGATGAATAATCTTTTATTCTCAACGTGCAAATTTGCTAGTTTGATTTGACAGTTCGGCTTGCCTGCACACAGTACAGTACAGTACTTCAACTTCGTTCAGATAAGTTTCATCGAACAAGGTGCACTTGATCTGCGATTAGTCGGTGCTTCGGGGCATCGTTTATTTTTTTCCCCCCAGCAAAAATACAGTATTTGTGTTCTGGATTGCCCATCGTTGGACTAAGTTTCCAAAGACCGCCCGAGTGCAGGCTGCTCACCATTGCCCGGGGGTGTTGGTGAGACATAGCCTTATCCATTGGCTGCTCGATTACATAACCGACCTGATTTTCCATTCACGGCTGTTAGTGGGCTATTCTTTTCACTTTTCTTTTTCTTCCACGCCTCGAGTCCGCGTGTCATACGTGCGACGTTATTTTTTTTTCTTCTTTTTTTTGGTGTGCCCGGGAGAATTATTATTTCTTATTCCCTTTCTTATTTGGTGTATGGGTGGCTTCATTAGCTGTCAAGGGAAGGAAAAAAAATCTATGCTTCATTTATGCCCGACTTCGCGATGAATACATGCATTTGTAAGGCATTTTTCTTCTATTTTTTGAAAGTTTGCTTCGAGGTCGTGGGAAACTCCGCCGCGTGTCTGTACTCGAGTTAACCAGAATTCTTGCGGGAAATGCTAGTGATGTAACTGCATTTTCTGGCGATTCCTGCGCTTCGATGCATTGGATTCGATTTTCTTGAAATGTTTTATTTTTATGTATGTGGAGCTGCTAATTATATATTGAAAAATTTGAAGGAAAGAAAGAAACGGTGGCGTGTTTCAAAGTCATTGTCATTTGAAAAATGTATTCATTCACCTTCGTTCAAGAACTGTCAAGTATTTTGGAGTATGTGACTCAGCTGAAGGGTTTGTACGATCGTATATGAATACAATATATCCGAGAAACTGCTGAACAGAGCTTTTTCATTATTGATTTCTTCAGCTTATTTAAATGTATCAGGAATGATCGGATTTTTTCTCACTACAGTACAGCATTCTCTCTGAACAAGAAGGAGTTTAGAATAAAATCACGGTATTTAACTCTATCTTTTCATAACGCCGGTTCCCAAATCAGGAGTTCAAGTGCCGTTTTCTGGGAATTTGAAAAAAAATTGTGAGAATTTTTAAAATTGCATTTTACTCTGAAGTTTTACCGAAGAGATTGTGTTGTTAAGATTTCAGACGCAGTTATGCACCTTACTGGCGAATTTATGACGCCATCAAATGTGAGAGGCCTTTGAGGATTGAGTCGAGTCCAGCTTTTTTTTGTTGCTGTTGGAAACTTGCGTCTCATACTTGAGTAAATACGGAATTTATTTTTCCCGGCTGTTTCATGTCGAAATTTTTAGACTTTATTTTGGAAATTTTTTAATTTACTTTCGGGCGAGGTGGAGAAGGTCGCCGAATTTTCCGCTCGTCAACGCCGCTGATCATCGTTGTGCCCGGTTGAGTTCGGAAAGCGATCAATCATCTCGGAAAGAGTGATGACTTACTCCCTTCTCCCGTGTGAGCGGAAAATGAAACTCTGTTCCAGAGAATGAACTCGTCTCTTTTTCTTCTTCATCTTCATTTTTCAAAATTCTTCCCCGGTTTCTATCGGGCATGTCTTTTGTTCCCGAAGATATGTGGGTACAGAGAATTTTTTTTTTTTTATGCAAAGGGCCTCGAGCGCGCTCTTTCGTTCACCTACCTGTCTGCTAACTGATTAGTCCGACACGGAATTATCTTGTGCTTGATGATTATGCTCTGCCTCGCAATCAATCCTGCGGTCCAGCTATTTTCATTGGATGATCGAACGGGGTTATTCCGTGGCGAGGAGCCCGTGCCGTGATTTATCCTGGGCTCGGTGGGGTTATGCTGCTCTCGGGTCACGGGTTGTTCGACTGTAGGCGAGAATTCCGCGTAGTTGCTGGTAGGGTTGAGTGTTTTTTTCCCTATCTCTCTTTTATTTATTTTTTTGAGTTCAAGGCAGCGAAGGTTGAAAGAAAGCATCGTGGAACACAAGCCTTAGGACATTTTCTTTCGCCCGTAAAAGTGAATGTGAGGAAAGTTACAGTGCTTTTCACTGTGCT